TGATACAATTACAATGACATGAGTAATAGATGTTTTTGAAGTGTATTTTCAAATAGCTGGCCTCTTAAAAAATTACGACAGATTTACTTGGCTAATCGTTACACCCTCATAAAATTGTCCTTGATTATACACAGAGATACTTAATTAATATATGAGATGATTTTTAAAAAACTTGGTTAGTACGAGTAAGAATATTGTGATCAGATGTGCATATGTGTAATCAAACAAGCATAGGATGCTTTCATATTTTTTCTAAAAATAGACAAAGCCATGTGTAACGAGTCCCAACTAAATGGAATTGTTGCAACTTGTGTTATTTACCTATAATAATATCACTAATAATAATTCATTTATCCGCCATCATGCCCAAAAAATATGTATTTTTTTTTCCTCACAGGTTATTAATTATAACTAGTGTATATCCCGTGCGATGCACGAAAGAGTTCATATTTTAAACATTTTTTAGACTTTATTTTAAATATAATTATTTATATTTTTCACTTCTCGTCTATTATGAAAATAGAATAAATACAATCAATGAAAAATATATATTATTAAATACTTTTCTTTATACAATATTTTTTATTTAAGAAATATTATTAAACCTTACGGTTTTGATTTATTTTTTTAAATCAATAATCCAAAATATATGATTGTTAGCGTACAAAAAATAATGGAAATAATTCAGACTTTAAAGTAAAGCTATTTTTTATTATTTTACAAATAAAAATCTTCCAAATTTTTTTTAATTTCAAAAAAAATTGGCAAGTTTGATAATGAGTTAAATCAAGTTATACAAATGACTAAATAGTTAAAATGTTATATTAATTATATTTTAAGAAATCCGATTATATAAAAATGGGTAAAAAAATATTATACTAATTAGTTTGTTAGGATTGTGATTATATGGAAGTTAAAATAAAATGAAATGTAACCAAAAAATTTGTTCGTGGTCTTTTCCTTTAAATGTTTGAATTTAAAAATTTAGTAACCAAATTTACATTATATCACGTAAGGAAAAAAATAAATAATAAATATTTATTAAAGAGATAATTCAATAATATTTATCACTTAGATAATAAATAATAAATATTTACATGTAAAAAAATAAATAATAATATATTTAAAAATATAAGTCAGAATTTCAAATAAAGTAAAAGAAGGGATAACTCATTTTTTAAAAAAAGTTTCTAAATATTTAATATATTGATAAGTATCTCCATAAGAATAATCATACCATTTTAATTTTAAAATTGGCAAGTTTGTTAGAGAGATAAATCCGGTTAGACAAATGATTAATTTGTTAAGATATTATATTAATTGTATCATAAAAAATCGGTTAGATAATGTAGATAAAAAAATATAATACTAATTAGTTTGTTAGAAATGTGATAATGAAAACCAAGATAAAATGAAATTTACCCAAAAAAATTGTTTGGAATCTTTTCCTTTAAATGTTTGAATTTACAAATTTAATACCGAAATTCTATTATATCACATAAGGAAAAAATAAATAATAAACGTTTATTAATATATTAAAATATGTAATTTTGAATTTCATATAAAGTAAAAGGTATGCTTATTCAAATTTATTTTTAAAATAAAAGTTATGATAAACATTTATTGATTCTCTTTCAAATATATTAATAAAATAAAAATATAAATCTAAACAAATTTTGAAACAACCAAAAAAATCGGATTGATTGGCATAAAAAAAGGAAGTGAAATTGGATTTAAATGCTAAAATCGGAACATCTTACGAAATTGAATGCTAAAAGATTCGATTTGATTGGTTACCTAATTGCATGGGCTGAAAAAATTCAAAAAACAAATTTACGAATTGAAGAAGCTGGAAAAACACTATATTGAAGCGGGAAAACGAAATGATTTTTTTCGGATTGTTCAAATAATTTTTCTTCTCCGTATTATATAGTAATAGATGTTATCCTATTTGAAAATTTTCCAAACCTACTAGGCTAGTTACAAACTTTAAGAAACATTCTTAAATATTATGATGAGGAAACTAACAAACATTGAACGACTGCTCATTTTGAGAATGTTTCAATCCTTATTAGATCCATGAAGATATAGGAAAAAACTAGATTTTTTCCCTTCCTCGATTATTTGTCTTTTCAATTGGTGCATTATATGATAAATACTTAGAGATTTGTTCATATGATCGATTATATATAACAGATAATCTTGATCTAATAAGTAATTAGAAAACTCATGACTGACTATAACAGGTTATTTTGTTATGAAGACTTTTGTTTCGTGTATCATTTTCTTTCTTCGCCCTGAAAGTATTTAAAATTTAATAATGATTTCTTGTTAATTTTTTTTTTTTTTTTATTCCATACTATTTATTTGCTACAATATTTACATAGTATTTTTAAATTACAATTTAGTACTTTAAGGTGCATGTAAACTTAGAGTCTAAAAAACGATCGGAAGATACACACATACGAATGTCCAGTGTGTGTGTGCAATCCCACACGATAGGATCGAATTATCCCCCATCACACTTATTATTTAAATAATTGTCATTTATCATATTTGGATAGACTAAAATCCGAAATTGTCGGGACATACATATAAAGAGAATGACATTGTTTTTGATAATAGACCCATATTTCTTGATTAGAGGGCTTAACCAATTTCTAGTGTCTAAAAGCGCGTTTTAGGGCTTAGCATTTTTCATCCAATAATTATTATGATCAATTAAAAGAAAATTATAATATGAAGCACTAAACAATGACTTTATTTGCATGGGGAAATGGTAAATGATAGCTGGAAGTGACGACTTTACGTTGTCGGACTATAGATTTAATCTATCATCTCATAACATATAAATAATAGTAATCTTGGAATTAGGGATCCATATTCTATAGGCCGAAATGAAATTCTTGGTCCCTTGTGTCCCTACGTATGCATGTGCATGATTGATTATAAAAAAGAAAAATACTGCAATTAAATTATTCCGTTGAGATTTTTAATCGTTAGATATATCATGTACGTGTAAATTAGTGTAACATGTGTATCTAACGGTTAACAATTTCAACCCTATAAAAAATGACTAATTATATTCTCTTATATGTTTATAAGGGCATTATTGGAAATGAATTATATATAACTAGTTGTGATCGACTGAGATATTTCATATATCCAATCATCTAACTCAATCAAATTTTCCTAATTTTCATAAGTATAATTAAATAATATTAATCGATCATTTTTACACATGACATCAATTTTAATTCACTATTCATTCTCTCATTTAATTTTAATTGGTAATCACTTCCAATAATTTATTTTCTACTTTTACATCACATCAACTTTAATCGTTACATTTTGAATATTATGTCATTCCAAACTCAAAATCAAAACTAATTCAAACTCAACACAACAAAAAATTTAAGTACATTCAAAGTGATGGTGGAACTGAGTTCAAACCCCTCTCTTAGTCTTTCTTAGAGAATGGTATCATCCATAAACTTTCATGCCCCTACACACCCCAACAAAATGGCCTAGTAGAAATGAAGAATAGACACATAGTGAAAACATGAATTTCTCTCCTAGTCAATGCATGTATGCCTTATGTTTATTGGGATCATGCATTTACAACTGAAGTTCACCTTATAAACATAATTCCCTCCAACATTCTCCAAATTAAATCACCATTTGAGATG